TAAGATATATACGTGAATATCCAAATATCTGTAAATATCTAAAAAAATAAAGATATTCGTAATTTTTTGAAATAAAATAAATCGAAAAATTAGATATTCAAAAACTGATAAAATCAAATAATAAATACTGTATTCTTTTTTGGATATTGGCTCTGCGCCGAGATAGAGTGGTGGTACCAAACTACCAATCACTCATTATCTCCCCATAGGGCGTAAAACTAATAATAATAGTTGAGCATATTAACAAGGAAATAACGGCTGTCAAAATTTATATACTTAAGGAAAAACCCTACACAGACCAAAAAAACCAATCAACTTGACGGCGACTTCTTTCTCCTCGTCGGTACTATTGGCTTCTCTGATTCCCTTACGGAACCCTAAAACCAGTCTCTTCTGCAAATTCATGGGATTTTCGTCCCGGCGAGTCCTTCTCCTGGTATTTCTCTCCCATTCCTTACCTAAAACTTACAAAAAAAAAAATTGATATCTACGTTCTTCCTGTGTAGGTTCTGGATTCCTTATAAAGATCTTAGTTTGATTATTAGGTTCCCATAAATTTGGAAACTCATATCTGCCCTCTGATTGTTAGCAATTCTTGTTCCTCCATTGACTATTCTAATCCTTAAATTGGTTAGTTTTGATGTGAATTGTTCAATGTTATTGCAGATTAGTATCTCTGCCTCTCGAGAAAGGGAATAGAGAGGTGTCTTCTCTTATGGCCTCTCAGAGTGGTTTGTCTGAGAAATATAATTATATTTCAAGTAAAGGTGAATACTTTTATTGTTTGCTGCAATTTCTAGATTGATAAGTGTTCACTATAGAAATATTTCATTTATCTCTTCTTTTTTATTTATGTCAGGAATTCGAAAGAAAGTGAAAAACTCTGAGTCCATAGCGTTAAAGAGATATAAGATTGATAACAATGTCTTACTGGACCTTGATAAGGTATTAAATGATGTCTACTCCTCTATTCGACCGGTTTCTGCTGACTACGATACGAGGAAAGATTTGGTGAATAGCCTCAATGCTATGGCTATAGATATTTATGGTAATCTATAACATTACTTGTATTCCCTTTTTATCTTTATTATTGATATCAAATAACATCATCAAAACTCAGCAGAGG